GTACACGGGACCCGCCGGCCTCACACACGGGGACACACACTGAGTACACGGGACCCGCCGACCTCACACACGGGGACACACACTGAGTACACGGGACCCGCCGGCCTCACACACGGGGACACACACTGACTACACGGGACCTGCCAGCCTCACACACGGGGACACACACTGACTACACGGGAACCACCGGCCTCACACACTGGGAGACACACTGACTACACAGGACCCGCCAGCCTCACACACAGGGACACACACTGACTACACGGGAACCACCGGCCTCACACACTGGGAGACACACTGACTACACGGGACCCGCCGGCCTCACACACGGGGACACACACTGACTACACGGGACCCGCCGGCCTCACACACGGGGACACACACTGACTACACGGGACCTGCCAGCCTCACACACGGGGACACACACTGACTACACGGGACCTGCCAGCCTCACACACGGGGACACACACTGACTGCATGGAACCTGCCGGCAATAAATATGCAGTATATACAGTACACCAATATATGCAGTATATACAGTGCCATCAATCAAGCTGAACATCTACATTCATTTATTTAGCAGAGTGAGGAAAGCTTAGGCTCAGATGGCAGGGCTAGCCAGTGCCCGGGAGCAGCTGGGGTTAGGCACCTTGGTACTCTAGTTACTCTGCTGGCCACAGGAGTTGAAGCCATGACCTTCCGAGCACAGGTACAGATCATTAACCCTCTGAGCTACTCAATGCCCCTTCAATAACATACACGGTGGGTTCCTAATGCAGTACTGGGCAATTCCAGTGTTATCCATGTGACATTTAGACTCTTACTGGCAAACAAAATGCCTCAGACCTGGGACATGCTGAGTATCAAGGAGTCTGTTTGCAAATCTCTTCATGTAACCACCTGCATTAAATATAGTGAAATCTGCAAAATTCATATATTAATTTACATGTTAGAATTGTATGAGCTGTCTGGAAGTGACAAATGGACCTCTGCAAGGAAGTGCCCTACTAGTATTACCACAGAGTCAGTGTAAACTACTAGGAGCTCTGACTTGATACCTGGCCCCACCCACACCCACTCTATAAGGGAGTAGAGAATAAGGAGCCTGTCCCAGATCACGGAGAGCAGGAGGCGGGGGCACCCTGGAAGGCATGCCACCAAACCGGTTAGGAAAACAAGCCACCCCCCTGGGCCCTGGCACGCGGACGTACCTCGGATGAAGTCGAGCATCTTGGCCTCCATACGCTCAAGGAGCAATCGCACGCACACAGTGGTGAAGTAGCGGTTGGCCACCTCCTTGTCACGCAGCACCCGCTGCAACAGCCGCTCCAGGTGGGCCTGTGACGTCTGCAAGCCCTGCCGGCAGCGTGTCAGGTAGGCGATGTAAGGTGCCCGCTTCCTGCATGTGTGGGGGCCAGGGTTTCAGGGTCAGGATCTGCGGTGGCGCCCTCTACAGGAAGCTTTCAGACTAATGAAGTCTAACTTGACCAATAATTAACCCACACCACAGCATGTCGGCCATATTTGTATGTTTTACTCTAGTGGCTAAACTCTGGGAGTAGTAGGAATGAGGAGATACGCATAGCACCTTCAAGACTGACACTTTAAATCAGAAGAACTCAGATGAGTCACAGGCTAACTCTGTAATCGGAGGGGGACACTTGTGGAGTCTTCAGAAGCCTATTTAATATAGAATTGCTTTAGTAAACCAGTCAAATTGCTTAGGAGGTTTAGCTAAGACAGTCCAATAGCAGGACACATGGGAATTGAACTGGAAGGTACTGGTGGGAAGGTCAGCTCCACGAACACAAATTAGGCCCCTCCCAATACAAACGAGGCCCCACCCCCCCACGTGCACCGCTTTCACCTGTAGTCGTCGGCAATGGCGGCCAGCAGCTTGCGGCAGGTGCGCGTGTCCAGCCGGCTGACGCAGCGCGTGGTCTCCTGGATCTGGGCCATCTGGTTCTTATCCTGCAGGTTGATGGCTTCTGCCAGCTGGACCTTCAGGAAGCAGACGATCTCATTGTCTGGGGGGGGAGACAGGAAGCGGCGGTCAGAGGTGGGGGTGGGGTCTCCGCGTCCTACTAGAGAGAGGCCTTGTAATTATGCCCGTCTGTCATCGGAGAGCACACGCCATCCACAGACACGTGACAGGACACTATTCCTCCTGATGTACGTGCATTAAAGGAGACATCCGGACAGGATAGGCGAGGCTTCCTGTGCTCTACATACCAAAAATTTAATTTAGCATCACCAGCTGTAATAGGATAATGCATTAAGTCCGGTAGCGGGCTTTTGCTCCGCATTATGGGACACAACATTTTGCTTTGTATCTGCGACGTTCAGAGCTGACCAACACTGGATTAACTCTGAAGGACTGCCTGCCAATGCCACCAGCCTCTGTCCTCACGGGCAGCGACAAACCCGGTTCCTCATCTCCCTGGCTACCCCCTGGCTACCCCCTGGCTACCCCGGCTCCCTGCTCCTACCTTCGGGGTCGGTGTGGTCGGGCAGGCCGTTGCGCGTACTGGCCGGGGCCATCATAGGGAAGACGACAGAGTCGGCGGAGCACAGGGCCAGGCGGAGCTTCTTCTTGGCATCACTGTGTGGGGGGTGGAGCGTGTGAAACAAGGACGGATGTTGTCAGGTGGCATGAGCTGGGGGGGGCACAGAGGGCGAGACCAGGGCAGGGGGTGGGGTGAGACCGAGGCGACCCCCACACACCTGAAGGAGAACTTGGAGTCCTGTGGCTGGGCCGTCTGGCTGGCCGAATCCGGCAGGTCGTCCGCGGAGACGTTCTGGAGGGCCTCTTCCCTGGGGGAGCCGTGAATGCTCTCACCATCCCCCCCACAGGGCTCTGACACACAGAGACACACCCACAGACAAACAGAGACAGATACACACACACACACACACAAAGAAAAAGATGGACACAGACACACACAATGAGACTTACACATTTCAGACTAAACAATTGTCTCTCCTCCCCCACCCAAGACCCCGAGATGACATGTGGGGCCACGCAAGGGGCCAAAGGGGCCCCTGCTCACCTTGCCCGTCATAAGCGGCCCCTGCGGACGCCATGCCGTCACCCGGGCTGCTGCGCTTGATGTTGCGGTACTTGTCCAAGATGTCCTCGGCCTCCTGGGCCTGGCGGCTGTGCCGAGGCAGCGGGTCATCTGCAGGGGTGGAGGGGCGGGCCGTGAGCCAGGGACCTGCATCAGCGTTCCATGAGGAAGGAGGCCGAGAGGCCAGCGATTTGCTAGGGTGGGACTGACCTGGCGGGGCACGATCGGGACCCAGCTCCTCCTTCTCGTGCTTGTCCTTCTTCCGGAAAGCGGCGATAGGCGCTGGAGGCGGACAGAGTGAGGAGGCAAGGTCAGAGGGCAGCCAATCGGCGCCAAGCGTGCTAAGCTACAGCGAGGTGAGCAGGACGAGGTGGCAGAGCAATGGACATGGCACTGCGGTCCTACATGAGCGGCCATGTTCATGGGCGAGAGTGAAGCAGCCCAATCTAACATGACAGTGGGAGCACTCCTCACACACCGATGACGTGAAAAGGTGTCCCAAGATAGGCTCATTTGGGGAAACCGGGGGCAGGGCTTGTGAGGCAGAGAAGGCCCCTCCCAAAACAGAACCATGAATGAGCTATTTCCCCATCCACTTATGAGAGAGAAGAACACACCGCTGGCAGGAGCCGGCCCCTACTGGAGGCCGCGTCACGCTGGCGGCCTCTATGCCAGCCGAGGAGCCGGCCTCTATGCCAGCCGAGGAGCCGGCCTCTATGCCAGCCGAGGAGCCGGCCTCTATGCCAGCCGAGGAGCCGGCCTCTATGCCAGCCGAGGAGCCGGCCTCTATGCCAGCCGAGGAGCCGGCCCCTACTGGAGGCCGTGTCACGCTGGCGGCCTCTACAACTCAGGGTAGGTTCTTCATTTACAACAACACAGCCCTTCTTCTGCAGCCTTTGGGTCACTGGCCTGCATCCTTCAAGCCACACCCACCTGCCATCTCACATGCCCAAGAGAAATATTCCGCAGCGAATGCTGTTTTTCTCTCTGCCTCAGAGTGGCCAATCCCGTCGAGGCCACCCAACACGTGAAGCAAATTAAACCAATGAGGAGAAAGCCCACTGATGAGTGAGGAAACATGAGGTGAGGCCATGAGGGGGGGTGGCAGTGAGGCAGAGGCATCCTCGGGCCTCCCCAGGGGGGGACGTTACCTGCGACTTCGCTTTCTGCAGTCCAATAGAGCACTGCGTGGGAACAGGACAGACAGCGTTGGGCTGGGAGGGACACTCCACACTGCAGAGAGCACAGCCAACACTGCGCGCGGGGGAGCGGCTGCTGCCCGCTACTCTGTCTCCATTCATGCTCTGGGGGGACCCAGGCTGGCCAGGCATAACACCGCTTAGCTGCTCTCCCGTACGCAGTAGCCTACTAAGGCTGTAACGAACCATGCTAAAAATTCAAGCACAAAATTATCGCAGCGTTTGCTAACCTAATGATTAAGATGGTGTTCATTTATTTAATTTGCCTATTCATTATTTTGGATTTTCACAAGACATTTTAAACATCATCTACGTTCTTATGCCAAATACGTAATGCATAAGACCAAAGGTAAACAATATGCATGCCTGCAAGTTCCCCTTTTAATATTTAACTTAGTTACTATAAGAAATTAAGTAATTTAAAATTATTTTTTAAACAGATTAATTCTATTTATTCAAATGCAAACTTGAATACTTTCAAGCAGTTCAATCTGCATTTCTATATGAGAAATTCTTGTGAACTATATTACTGTGTTCAGTAACTAGACTTCAACACATAATTTGGATGCCTGATGTTTATACCTTTGTTCCACAGATATTTACCAGCGTTATTTTTCAGTAGCTATTATTATAACAAGCTCCCTTGTTGCATGTATTGTACAGCTAAATAGTTTTATGCATTCTGAATATCGCCCTCAATAGCTCGAAAACAGTAACTCTCCAAAAGGCAATTCTACTGTCAAACAAATGTAATGATACGGAACGTAATTATTTGAACATTATCACCAAATCTGAAATAAATTAAATGAAGACTAATAACATTATCCGGAATTTCTTGTGTTTCAGGCTTAAGCCTACTTGAACAACTATATGTAGATAATATGCTGGTGATGCACAATTGTCGTAAACCATGGGGTCTAAGAACAGCCTTTCCAAAATGCTCTAAGTCAAGTCCAAAGTATGGGAATATTTGGGTTTTCTACACGTTGGTAGTAAAACTTGCAATACAGCAATTAAATACAGTGGAGGAACTGCAAACTTTAGACTTAAAGTAAAGAACTTTAAATATGTTAAGGGCATTTGTAGTGTGGTAACACAGCCCTAAGTTGTTAATAAGTAAATGAATTACAATACTGAAGACAACATTCAGTATTCTGTTATTACAAATTTAAATATTTGGTAATTCTGAAAATTTCCAAATAATACAAGTCAATTATTGCATAGGTATTAAACTTTAAGTCTCTCAGACAGGACCATGTATTGCTGTGTGCTATTATGATAAGGGATGTTTCAGCTAAGGCCTGGAGACACACAGCCCTATAGCTGGCTCATCGCACAAAACACATAAGTAGCCAATAAGCTCTCTGACAGCTCCTTGTTCAGAAGCAGTGACTGACTGTGTGTCGTACTGGGTTAGTGTTTGTCTCTGGCTCTAAGGCTGCTTTTCCACCACACCAGGTACCGTACTATTAGTACTTTCCATTGACTTCTGGTTAAGTACTAGTACCAAAAGTTCCAGTAAAAAATAAAAAATACAAGTAATAATAATGGATGTGTAGACAAAGGTTTAAGTGTGATCTGGTTGGAACAGATACAAAAAGACCAGGATGGCTTGACAAATTAAAAAAGTATTTTGTATAATATACTAGGGCAGCACGGTATTTTGTTGTAATAAATACCGAGGTATGCATAAAGCAAAAAAGGAGTTTGACAAATTTCTCACAAACCTGTCTAGGAGTGGTTTTAATAGCAAAGATGAAAATGATTATGATTGTCTCACAGAATGCATGTGGTGCTCATGCAAAAGCAGTGGAAGAAAACTTTAAAGTGATTTTTTTTAGACATATACTAGATCCTGAAATGGAAAATAAACAATGGCAAAACTTTTTTTCATATATCACAGTAAAAATGTTTTAGTGAAACTTAAACCCCCTGCACTATAATGTCCATACAAAAGTGAAGGTATGAAAAAGCCTGATTTTAATCTAGCATGTTGTACAGTCATGCCCAAAAGTTTTGAGAATGACACAAGTATTGATTTTCACAAAGTTTGCTGCTTCATTGTTTGTCAGATGTTTATATGGTATATTGAAGTATAATTACAAGCATTCTATATGTGTCAAATGCTTTTATTGACAATTGCATTAAGAGTCAATATTTGCAGTGTTGTCTCCTCTTTTTCAAGACCTCTGCAATTCGCCCTGGCATGCTGTCAATCAACTTCCGGGCCAAATCCTGACTGATTGCAGCCCATTCCTGCATAATCAATGCTTGGAGTTTGTCAGATTTTATTGGTTTTTGTTTGTCCACCCGCCTCTTGAGGATTGACCACAAGTTCTCAATGGGATTAAGGTCTGGGGAGTTTCCTGGCCTTGGACCCAAAATGTTGATGTTTTGTTTCCTGAGCCACTTAGTTATCACTTTTGCCTTATGGCACGGTGCTCCATCATGCTGGAAAAGGTATTGCTCATCACCAAACTGTTCTTGGATGGTTGCGAGAAGTTGCAATCGGAGGATGTTTTGGTGACATTCTTTATTCATGGCTGTGTTCTTAGCCAACGAAGTGGGCTCACTCAAAATTTTGCCTGAGAAGCAACCCCACACATGAATGGTCTCAGGTTACTTTACTGTACCTGTACCTTTTGCAGAATATCAGTCAGTCCCTGATGTTTTTCTTGGAGAAAAGTGGCTTCTTTGCTGCCCTTCTTGACACCAGGCCATCCTCCAAAAGTCTTCACCTCACTGTGCGTGCAGATGCACTCACACCTGCCTGCTGCCATTCCTGAGCAAGCTCTGCACTAGTGGTGCCCCAATCACGCAGCTGAATCAGCTTTAGGAGAAGGCCCTGGTGCTTGCTAGCCTGTCTTTGGTGCCTTGAAGCCTTCTTCACAACAATAGAACCTCTCTCCTTGAAGTTCTTGATCATCCAATAAATGGTTGATTTAGGTGCAATCTTACTAGCAGCAATATCCTTGCCTGTGAAGCCCTTTTTGTACAAAGCAATGATGACTGCATGTGCTTCCTTGCAGGTAAGCATGGTTAACACAGGAAGAACAATGACTTCAAGCACCATCCTCCAATTAAAACATCCAGTCTGCTATTCTAACTCAATCAGCATGACAGAGTGATCTCTAGCCTTGTCCTCGTCAACACTCTCACCTGTGTTACCGAGAGAATCACTGAAATGATGTGAGCAGGTCATTTTGTGGCAGGGCTGAAATGTAGTGGAAATGTGTTTTTTGGGATAAAGTTTATTTTCATGGCAAAGAGGGACTTTGCAATTAATTGCAATTAATTAAGTGCATCTGATCACTCTTCATAACATTCTGGAGTATATGCAAATTGACGACATAAAAACTGTGGGAGCAGACTTTGTGAAAATTTTTATTTGTGTCATTCTCAAAACTTTTGACTGTACAGCCTCAGTGGTGGGTATGAATATTCTGCTAATCCACTAACAACTAATTAGCAAAGCTAACCTAATGGATTTGTGTTTCACTAACATTTTTTTGCAGGTAAAGTAAATAAAGTTTAATGGTCAGAAACATTTGTAAATACTAAAATCAAACATATTTGTTCCAGTCTGTTGTGAACATGTCTATCTGGAATGCTGTTGGCTGACTTTGTAAGCAAGATGTGGTCAATAACCTGTCGTATTTAAATGTATGTGAACAAAGATAAAGTCCAATTAAACTGGGATATCCTGAACTAAGGGGAGAACTGGGGCCTGTATCACAAAGCAGGATTTCTTCCTTAGTTGCATAACTTGCGACTAAGGAAGTTGTTCAACTTACATTTTGCCCAGACTACCTTAAATACAACAAGTCCAGCTAAGCAAGAAATCCCGCTGCAGTAGTTATCAGATTAAAACTTTGGAGTTATCGAAGCTAACTTTTCGGTTAGCTACGCCCACCACTGTTCAGCCTAACAAAATACTATTGCCTTTTTTTGAATTCAGAACAAAATACTTCACGTTGCGATGTCGTTTAGCACCAGTTAAAAACCAACACCTTGAAGTACTGAACTTTTGGTACTTTCTTGAAGTATTTAAAGTACGGTACCTGGTGCAGTGTAAAAGCACGCTAAGGAGGGACAGCATAGTCTCCTACCCCTAACCGTGAGTGAGTGAGCGCGCGCTGTGCTGTGTTATGGTTCAGCTCTGGCTCCTACCCTGCTGTCACACTCAGTCCATCACCTACAGACACACTCACCCACAGAGCACATGAGTTCTGTACACCAAGGTGTAACACCAATAAAACCTGTGACAGGCACAGTCAATCTACACCATGGCATGTTGGCACTCCCAGCTGTTAGCTACCTCTTGATTGGCTGATCCCCCCACACCACCCTTACCTTTTGGAATGGCTGACACAAAGCGCTTTTTCCACCATGGTCGGTTCCTGTCCGACTTCTCGTCATCACTGTCTTTCCTCTCCTCCACCTGTAAGGGGTGGTGTACGTGGGGTGAGATGAGAGCAGATAACAGGCATGGGCATTAGCTAATAAACCAGAGTGATGGGTGACATTTGCTTTAGTTATATTACCTGTGTGTATTGCTCACCTTAAAAGCAGAAATCTCCTGCATAATCATGATTTTAAACCTAATTATACCCACCAAGGACTACACCTTGGGCCATTGTTCATTAAAAGCAAGCACAACATCCCATATAAACACCACAGCCAAAGCAGCAAACCAAAGGGACTGTGTGCAGGGCAGTGATTGGCTGAGCCATACCTCTCCTTTCAGAGAGTCCTTGCTGGGAGAGGACGAGGGTCCTAGGGCGAAGCCAGCGGGACCCAGCTCACGATCCTCGGGCACAACCCGCCGGTTGAGACCCGGGTCACTGGTGGGTCGGCGGCCAGTGCAGACAATGTCTGAGCTGCGGCTGCGAACCAGCCGGTCCGGGTACGAGTGCCGCTGGTCCTGCTGAGCCAGGCTGTGTGGGCAAAAGGGGGCACCAGTGTGGCGTGGCTCCTGACCTGGGATGCACGCCTCTGGAATGGGGGGGTCCGGCGGGGGGTGGGATGGGCGGGTGTGGTGCACCTTGGGCCGCACGATGGTGCCCGTGGATGAGCCTGTGGGCATCAGCAGGCATCAGTGGGTTTCGGACCTGATCCCCATCCTACCACCATCAGCGCTGTGTGAGACTAAACCCTGGGGTTATAGGGGTCCTGGAGGAAGTGCTACATCCTCTGTGAGCAGGTCCCACATGCCTGAGCCCAGCATCCTGCTCTTCAGGGACACAGGCGGTTCCCAGCTGCACCATGACAAAATCTACCCCCTTTCAGCTCATTTTCATTATAAATCTGAATAATAGCACAAATAACAATACAGTAATGGTGTCATAAATATTTCTCTCCCCTTGGGCAAGTTTCTGCAGCAAGCATGTACACACACACACATACAGAAAGACAGACACACAGAGAGACGCAGATACAAACACAGAAACAGACATACTGAGCAGAGCCCCGTGCAGCAGAGCTGTACCCTGGGGTGAAGGCAGGCCACCTGTTCACCGCCGGGAGCCGGGGGGACAGCCAGCAAGCCTGGGGTGAGGTCTCTCAGCCTGTCACCCCCTCGCTGGCACCCAGCCCCCGTTACTCACACCCACGCGGGACAAACAGTGCATTGGGCACATTTAGGGCCGTGTGCGTAAGAGAGCGTGGCTCTCGACTGAAAGGCGCAGTCAGCCACAGTGCCCGGAAATTACCTTCCCCGGAGGCGAGGGGGTCGAACATGGCAAGGAGGGACTCAGCCTGCGAAGGCGGGGACGTCAGATGGTGTGCCCCTGGCAGCACAGGGAGGAGAGCAGGCAGGTTAGCAGCCCGGTGACGCCCGTGTCCCTCCCCGCCGTAAAGCTGTAAGCTTGCCCACTTTGGCTCTTCGCTGGTAAAGCATGACGGAGGCCAGACAGACACAGGATACCCCGACTGGCTCTGACCCTCCCCTTACCGTGAGCCGACTCCTCCCCATCTGGGCTCGTCACCGAGTCCTTGCCCCCGAAGTCGGAGCTGCACTCGGAGCGCAGGTCCTCCATCTTGTTGGGGATGTCCTCGGATGTGGCGCTTATGCCTGCCAAGATAAAGACAAACCAGGAATAGCAGTGGAAAAGAGAAGCTGTCGGCGTCGGCCTCGCTCACAGACGGGACTGTGGGGGTTACAGGAGGAGGGGCAATCTCAGGGTGGGGGGAGGATGAAGTGGGGGGGTGTACCTGAGACCACGCTGAGGCCCGGCGTGCTGGGCCTGGAGCTCACCTCCCTGACCTCAGTGTCGTCGGAGGTACTGCCCACCCCAGAGCAGCTCTCCAGCTCTTGCAGGCGCTCCTCCTGCTTCAGGTCAGGGGCCTCTGGGGGGGG